TGATTGTACATTTACAAGTCATTATATATATATATATATATATATATATATATATATATATATATATATATGAATATAAATTAATATCAAAGCGTTTCCCGGAGTTTTTTCGAAAGCGTATTCAAATTTGCCGCCATATTTTTAATGTGTATGACATGCAGCGCCTCTATGCAAAATCGTTCCCAGTTCTTCGGGAACTACGTAGTGACTACCGGGTTCATATGGTTCTGTGTGGCGCCACCGACCTAAACGTCAAACGATTGACAGTTATTTAACAGTATTACTTTCTTTTTTAATAATTTTTCAACGCGTTAAAGTGATTTAGTTAATAGTTACTGTTCATACAATTAAATGAACATTTTTATATTTTATAATATTATTGCAATATATTTCAAAGCCATAAAAGATTTGGTGGTTAACAGTTGGAGGTACATGAAATTTTAAAATGAATGTAAGTAATTGATTTGCACGTTATATAAGTGTGTATGCTTATGTATGGTTTATTTTTTTAAATAATCGTTGAAGTCTAAGTTTAAAGCACTTAAAAACAATAAAGGGCTTTAATTTAAATTGAAATGTAAGGGCTACACATTTCATGTTACTACATTTAATTCAGCATAAGCTATTTCATAGGGCCACTTCAACGATTGTTCTTTTACTTCACTAAACAAAGTTCTTTTACTTCACTAAATAAAGGTTCTATCAATATATTACTTATACAGTTAATTCGAAATCTTTTGAATTATGGATATTATAACTATTGTCTTTAAATCTAAAATATTATAATTCAGCGAAACCTATTACGTAGGATCACTTCAACAAGAGTTTGTTCGTTTATGTAAATTAGTTAACACTCTGTGAACATAATACATATATAGTTAATTTTAAATGTTTCAAATCATGCAAATATAATAGTTTTATTAAATCTAAAATATTTTACTACAGAAAAATATGTAGGGAAACTTTAATGGTTGTTCATTTACATCGATAAGTAAATATTTTATTAACATAATACTTTAGTTAATTTGAAATTTTCCAAATTATGTATGAAATAATTATTTCCTTTGAATCTAAAATATTTTAATTCAGCCAAACTAATTACATATTAACACATCAACGATTGTTTCTTTCTTTACTTTGATAAGTAAATATACTTGATAGAGTATATTTACTTATCAAAGCTAATATAAGAAGAAAACAATCGTTCAATTGATTACATGTACTTAGTTTGGCTGAATTAAAATATTTTAGATTTAAAGGAAATAATTATTTTATGCATTATTTGAAAGATTTCAAATTAACTAAAGTATTATATTAATAAAATATTTACTTATCGATGTAAATGAACAATCATTGAAGTTTCCCTACATATTTTTCTGGATTATAATATTTTAGATTTAATAAAACTAATATTTATGCATGATCTAAAACATTTTAAATTAACTATATAAGTATTATATTGACAGAGTATATACTTATTGACATAAAGGAACAAACTGCTATTGAGATGATCCTACATAACAGGTTTTGCTGAATTATGATATTTTAGATTTAAAGTCAATAGTTATTATATCCATAATTCAAAAGATTTAATATTGCTCATCCAGTCAATTTTAAGTCTTTTAATTCATGGATAAAATAATCATTTTAAAAATATATAGTTGGTGAAACTTATTATATAAAATAGTCTGTTTGTTACATATTTATTTGATATTATTTTACATATAAGTTAGTACAGTTAAATATGTATTCCAAAAGCGTTTGAAACAGAATCGTCTTTCTATACAAAAATTTTAGTGTAGATTCGTAATTTAACAGAAATTAATTAGCTATAGAATAGTTTTTTATATTCAAGGAAATTATACAAACAATTTCAATCTAATTTCAATTGTTTAAGCAGAATAGTAAAAATTGCAACAATTTATTATTTTTGGTTCACCAGTTTTGAAAACAGTTATTTTTTTATTTGAATTTTCTAAATGATTTAAATTTTCTCTGACATCACAATATAAATTGTACTTTTTGAAGTAAACATTGGTATATGACTGGTATATTAAATATTTATCTATCTTACAAGAATTGATAACTATTTTACAAATAAGTTTATGAAAATTTTAGAGATTTCATATTAATCGCAATCCATTTTTATTTCAAAGCCCTCATTTGAGTGTGTATTTATGTTCTAGATATATTTGAGTATATATATATATATATATATATATATATATATATATATATTATAAATTTACAGATAATTCAATAATTTTACAAATATATAATCTTGATTCGTATACATAAAACCAAGTCTCTTTCACAACATTAAAACACTCAAACAGAAAGTAAGGTCTATATTTTAGTCACTTACATCAATTAATAAATGCTTATCAAATATCATATATTTCAAGTTAGGGCTTTATAAAATCTATTGGCGAAATATTATAATTATAAAGTAAGATTTTTTATGAAATTTTGTAACTTAATTACAAATTTGTGCTGTTAGCTTCATCAAATCTCGGTCTTTTCCTGTGATCATCACTCGGTGGCTCTGCAAACTCACGTTTGCGGCTCATATTCTGAAAATGGAAACAGAATTTGTAATGAAAGCAAATCGGTTTTTATGACTCGGTAATGCTAAGCATATCTATTATCAAATTTGATAGGGTGCGCTTATATCTAGTGAAAAGAAGACTACTTTTTTAACTTGGGGATACTTTTTTAACTGTGGGATATACAATATTTGTGGTTATACTTTTATTTGCATAGAGAAAGCAAATTGGTTACTATGACTGGAAAAAGCTAAATGTGATAGCACACTTATTTCATCAAATTTAAGATTGAGCCTATATATACAATATTCAGTAACAATAAGATTTCCTTTTATACATGTACATTTAAAATTATTCTGCTTTCCTATAGCAATTTCAATTGTAGATAGGTCTTTTACAACAAAGACTTCATCCAGACGGACACAAATGTAAATATAGCTTTTGTTTATTTACTTAACTGAATATTTCGAAGAAATTATTTCAACTGAAACATAAGAATTATTATGTTGAGAATAAAATAAATATAGTTTACCTTTTTCTGCCATTGCAAGTGAAGATATCTGAGGAGAATGTTTGTCCTATCAGATACTATTTCTGTAAATGAAATTTTTGAGGTTAGATTTTAGCTAAAGATATTTTTAAATATTTTCTGAACGTACCTTTTGATGGTGTTGTTTCTGTCGTTGCTATATAAACTGATGGCTTTTTTATTGTAGTTTTGTTTGCTGTTTCTGTATTATATAAAGCAAAATTGTTCGCATTGAACGATGGCAAATCTTTTAGTAAGTCGCTGACAGGCTAAAATGAAAAAAAATGGTTTTAATATGATTAACATTATATATTCATAAAATATTCATTAATTACAAACCATTTTTGTTATTTGTCACTTTATCAAATTATAAACGTAAATATTTCGCCTAAAACACTTATTTTTGATATTATTAATTGGAATAAGCGACATTAAAATGTCAAAAAAATAAAGAACTGAAAGGAGTGAAGTTTGTTGGAAGCGACTACGGCTGCGCTTGACAACAAAACAAAAAACGCGCTAAATTTGAAATTGAAATCAAAGCTTTCTTTTAAAACTTAGAATAAATCGAATGAAATGAAATCAATCAAAACCATCAAAGTGTATAAAATGTTTCAAATTTATCTGAATAACAGTATTTAATTTATCATCACATAAATTTACTAAATATTAAATCACTACTAACATATACATAATAAATTAATGCTTATTAATGCATAATTTTTATAATTGTTTTGTTCTCCTTTTATGTTTATAAAAATGATATTAATATATTGTTGATAAAAATGTTTAAATCAGTGGTATCCAATATTTTTAAACCACGTACAACGATTTATAAAATAAATTGTTGCAGTTTCTTCAGTTTTTGAATAATCTTATTTCATAAATGCTCAACTGGTATTTAATAGCTCAATATATAATGCAATATTATGCTAACATGTTTTTGAAAATCAAATATTTACTTTTTCCTTTATATTTCAATTCGACTTTGTTGGTTTGTGTTTGAAAATAGTACTGGAAACAGACCCTCATGGGAACAGGCCCCATAGGTTGGAAAACACTGGTTTAGATATATATATATATATCTAGTGATCGCGCATAACATCAATCAAAAACATGGATTTCTTTCAAAAAATTATTTTTTAACCATACGTTTCGGCTATAATTTTAGCCTTCATACAGTTGAAAAATTAGTTAATCTTAGTGTTAAATCAGATGTTAATCTTATTGTTTATTTTTCCACAATGTAATTTAACTTTTTCATATAATTTCTTTGAATATAAAAAGCTATATCATGTCTGCATAATTATAAGGTAAAATTCAAATTCTATAGTTGTTGTATGAGCGAATATTAATAAAATATGAATTTAGCAGTCTTAACTTACAATATGAAAAATAACATACTTAATCAAATTAATATGTAACAAGTTGACTGATTTATAATAAGTTTCATACTACTTAAAATAAAATAATAATTTTATTATAAATTCAAAAATTTTTATCAATATGAAATTACAAGTGTTATTTTGATAGAATGTTACTTATGTAGAAGTAAAGAAAATACAGTCATTGATATTTGGTCTGGAAATAATGCGGCCTCCTTTTAATATATTGTTTATGTAACATTTTTAATATAAATTATATGAAAAATAAATTCTTATTGATATATCTGTTTTACATTCGTACTGATTTTAATACTTAATACAAAAAACTACTTACAATAATAAGGGAACATATTATTAAACCTACGATAAGTGCTTTGATTATACTTATTTGGGATAAGAACTACTGATGGAAAAGAAAATCATTTTTTCAATCAATATAAAAATTTTAATATTAATCAATATAAAATATGATACTAATGAATTTTCATTTATATACCATTTTAAATTGGAAACATTGTTGTTTCAGGGTATTAGGGTGTACTTCTCCCACTATATCAAAATGCTAAATATTTTTACATTCTTGAACAAGATTCTGAATGCAGGTGATTTTTGAGGGACTGTTTTGTGTTTATGGGATGGAAAATTTAGGCAGGATGATTGGTAAGTGATATTCTTAATATCATTAGATATACTTAATACCCAATAAGCATTCCGTTAGTTCTATCAGTATAATTTTCATAAGCTTCACTTTCGTTATTAAGCTACTTTTCCTACTAAAATGAAATCAAACTATAATGATTGAAGTCGTTTTTTACGTATTGCTTATTTCATACTTTAATTTAAATTGATTATCATTAAAATAGGGATGTTTCAAACGAATGTCGCTTATATTGATATATTCAGTAAGTTATTTGGTAATGATCGGCTTGTTAATTATCAAGTTAATTTTATTATTATAATAAAACATTCAAGAATAGAAAAATCAGTTTTTTGCGGTTGACCGATATTGGGCTTATTGATTCTGACTTATTTTTAAGAATAAACTTACGGACGACGATTTGTTGTTAAATGTTTCTTTCCACCTAATACCTAATCTACTCAAAATTTTGCTCTGTATGATATATCGTAAGTTTTTGTAACTATATGAGAATCCAAAGGTTTAGACTCGTGTAGACGAAGTCATGAATTCAAATCTCGCTCTGGACAACCTGACATCAGGCATTAGCGATATTTATTTCCACTTTAAAATATAGATCAAAAATATGTTTCCTATTGAAATTAGCCCAATTCAGGCCCTGCGATGTGAAATGACAATGGAAAATTTCTCTTTTCACTATTTTCCTCGAATCTTGAATGGAGTTTAACTCAGCTCACGGACCTGCTCTAAGGGAGTACTACCCATTATTAATTTATTCGTTAAGAGAAATCACATGCAATCTAGCATATTCAGTCCATAATTCAAATATTAATGAAGTTTTATAAATAAACCATTTCTCCAAGGCTTATATTTTAGACCTGCAACTGTTTTCGACGATTTTTATGATTTTTTTTTTTTGACGGTAGATACCATAGTCTTATAGATCATACTAAAATATTACGGCCCTTTGACAATTCGTTTAACTTTAAAAATTCGTCAAAGTTTGCAAAAATTAGTATCGTTTTTTTGGCATTTGTCATAATTAGGCCTTTGATCGACGTTTTCTCAAAAACGCCTGAACCGATTTCAGAAATTTGAAAGCCATTGGATGTATCTCAATGAGGACTATCGTTTGTCAGACTATGCGACGATCTGCCGAGCCGTTTCTTTATAATTTGAAGAAAAGTGTTAAACTTTTCGTCCATATTTAAGCTTATACTACCGAATCGATTTAAAAAAATAAAAAACTGTTCGAAAGATATTAGTTGGGAATGATACTGATCAGGTTTAGGTGAAAATCTACCGAGCCGTTTTCTTGTAATTAACTGTTGAAAAAAAATTTAAATCGATTTTTATGGATTTTTTTTTAGTGATATATACCATGGTCTTATAGAACTTACTGAAATATTACGGCCTTACGACAAATAGTTTGATATTATAAATTCGAGAAAATGAGTAGTTCTTTTGACATTTGTTAAAATTAAAATCAGACTATTTACTTGGTATAATGATAGAGTACTTGGTCTTGAACATAATAAACCATTAAAGTCTTACATAAACTGGTTCAATTATAAAAATTATTGAATTTTGAAAATGTGCTTTTAGAAAATACTCCGAGTTAACGTGTTCGTTCGTTTTCAATTATGTGTAATAAATCCACTCGGAATACTTTTAATGACTCATAAATTAGTTTATTTTTTATTGATTAAGTCGATTATTTAAACATATCGGGAAGTTCATGTAACTTGCCTCAAGGCTAATTACCAAACCAACTAGTTTATATTTTATGAATTAAGTCGATTATTTACACTTATCGAGCAGTTCAGGTAACTTGCCTCAAGGCAAAATACCAAAACCAACTAGTTTCAAACTTCATCCAAAAACTAATCAGCACAATTTGCAATCGACATCTTTGGAACAGTTTTTGAATTTACAAAATCAATTATTTTTTTGGCTAAACATGAACGATCCCAGTACTATTTTGCTCTCATCTGCTTATTCAAAAAGCATTCAAAACTTTTCCAAGCAAGTTCTTCCAGTCCGAGATGCGATCATCGTATCAGAAATTCGCAAATTAAAACATAGAAAAAATCATGCAAATTTCGGATGCCGATACGATAGCGTGTACAATACACAGTTAATCGGATGCAAATGTACGCATAGATCTGTTTTGTATATTTTATAAAAATCCATCTATATAGATGTGTGTATCGATTATAGTTATAAAATGTAAAATACATTCGTGTGTATGACAACATTGGTTGGCAATGCCAATGTTATAATAGGTTAGTTATCTGAGGCTCGGGCTCCGATCCGAGAATCGAAATTAAGTCAGTTGTGCGCTAACAGCCGACACGACCGGGGCAAATTCAAATTTAATATTTGGCCAGTACAATTTCGATTGAAAGTGATATTGAACTATTTACTGTGATAACTTTTATTGTTCAGAGAGAAACGAAATATGACAAATGTGAGTAGAATTAGAAATTTTGAACTAAATTTTTACATTTTTTCAAAATTATTCCCAATTTTTATTTTTTAAATTTTGACTAAAATCTCATTGTTTCAATATTATATGTGTATATAGGCATTTTTAAATAATTAATTTTTTCCAACTTGTGTTTCTATGTCACCTAATATTAAATTAAATATTTAAATAAAGTATTTTAAAAATTCTTCCCAATTTTTTTTTTTTAATTTTGATCGTTTAAATATTATATATGTATATAGGCATTTTTAAATAATTGTTTTCAATTCGTGATTCACTTAATATTAAATTTTTGATAATTGTTTACTTATTTATATTTATTGTCCATATATATTGCATAGGTATTCCAACGTTTTATATATATACAAAAAATGTTAGTAAAAAGTTTTTTCTATATAGAAAGACATTAAGTAATTAATTTGACAAATAACATAAAATTTTAAAAGAAAATCCCAGTTGTTCACCTTTTATTAATGTACTAAATTTTATCATAATTAAAATTGATATTAGTAAAAGGTTAACTTTTATTTAATTTAAATTCTTAAGTTCGCCCTTTTGAAAATGACTTACCTACTAATTCTTTCAGTTAACGTTTAATTAATTCAAATTATCAATTTTACTCGTTTATGAATAATTTATTAATAACGTGCAATGTATAATGTTACATATATTTATTTTTAAGTAATTACAAACGAACAAAATTCTATAAAGCTAAAATATTTTATAACAAAAATTAAAGGAATTTAAAAAATTTAACGTCATTGAAGGTTTTAGTAAATATTATAGTTTAAATAGTAAACTAAATTAGTAATTCAATATTTTTGTTAATGTTTTAAATTTTGGCAATAGTATCATTTTTTTATTTTTAATATTAGTAATTACAAAGGAACAAAATTTTATAAAGCAAAAACATTTTAAAAGAAAAATTAAAGGAATTTAAAAAAAATTAATACCATTGAAAATTTTAGTAAATATTATAGTTTAAATAGTAATCTAAATTAGTAATTTAGTATTCTTGTTATTTTTTTTAATTTTGGCAATGTTAGTAGAAAATTTATTTTTAATTGCATATTTCAAGTTTTAAATTCTGCATTCTTTTAAATAATATGATACTGTTTTAAGTTAACTTTTAATTAATTCAAATTTTCAATTTTGCTCTTTTTTTAAATAACTGATGGATAATTCTTGTCGGTTTTTCTTAAATTTTGAGTATTAGTAATTATTAATATAATATGATTAATATTAATATAATTATAATTTTTTACATTTCTTGACCGTGCTCTAATTTTTTAATACAAATACTCTATTTTTTTAATACGATTCTTTTTTTGTTTATTTCGGATCTTCTTAAACTATGGCTTGCATTATCATTAGTTCTTTTTTGTGAATTACATAGCGTATATTACTATAGAAATATGTTATATATAAAAATATTATAAAACCACAATATTAACTAAAAATTTCTATGACACTAAATTTTTATTTAATTCCTTTCATTTTTTGTCTTCAAAATATTTTGGCTTCATAAACTTTTGTTTGTTTGTAAATGTTTAAAAATACGCCAAATAAGATTTTAGGAAGATAAATGCTTTAAAGAGATAAAGAAGTTTCTTTAAATAAATTATTAACTTTATTAAGAAGTATAAAATGTTTTTCTCAAACGAGTGTTATTTTTTCTGATTTTTTTTATAAAAAAGTTTAGTTTTTTTCTGATCTTTTTTATTAAAAAAGCCAAAATTTTAAAACTGTTAACTTGATAAAAGAAATACTGATGATTTAATTAAGTTAAAAGTTTGCTTCTTGAATGCATAATAAAATTAACATAATTAGTATGAGATTATTTATTCAAATAAAAAAATACTCTCAAACAGTAAAAAATTTACTTTTAAAATTCAAATTAATAAATTTCTTTCACTCTTATCAATTGTTCTGAATTTAAACTATTTTTTAACTATTATATAGCAAATTAATAATACAGTAATATAAAGATAGCAGATGTTGCTACATAGTTACTCATATTATATTATTATAAATTTTTAATATTTATAAAAATATAATAATATAACAGACAAAACATGATATCATCATTTTTGTCTAATTTTTTTACATATGTTAATTTTTTAAAGACTTGCAAAATTATTCAGTTTCTTTTGAATCTATAATGAATACAAATGTAACGGTTCCAAACAAGTTGTTTTGCTGAAGTACTTAATTTCTCAAACAATGGTTTGCTAAATTTCTTCTAAATCAACTACTAATAAGTATAATTTAAAGAAAATTAAGATGTTTGTAGGAGTTGGTAATAAATAGACAATAGATGCATTACAGAGTAATATATTATTATATTCGATAATATTTGTAATATTCATAAAAATGTTTAAATACGACTTAACGAGGGATTGTTTATAGTCTTTAGTCAAAAGTAAAATCTTTAAACAAAAAGTAAGGAGTTACTTCAAAATTAAAAAAAAATATTCGAAATATTTTTTGAATGTTGTGCATTAAAAATATACATCATTTTTGTCATTTTTCATG